CATGTCAGATCAGTGCTATATGGAAGAACTTTTATTTGACAGGTAGATGACAGGAAGAAGGCAATCTCCCAAACAGAGGCTGGAAGTATAAAATTCTCCTGTAAGATTAATGTTCTCTTTTGTTTCAATATATAAATAACTTACTCATTCTTGTTTCAAAGAAACCCATTTATGTCCATAAATTGCATGAACATAAGCATGTGATAATAAGGATATAAAAAGTCTTGTATAATGGGGTACTCTTTAAAGTATGTTAATTTAATTAAAGGAAAAATGGGCATGGATAATATTTAAGAACATTTCCCCTAAAACGTGGTAAATTAATGAAATGGAACATGACTTGCTCGAATAAATGTTGAACATGAAGAATGGAGAGAAGGGTAAGCTGAAGAGGGTCAGACCTAAGACTATGAACTGAAGCATCATGAAATAAACAGAACCAGAAAGACAGTCTATTCAATAGCTACAACATAGAAAGAACAATGACAAAACCCCCTAATATTTGCTAATGATAGTGACCAAGCTTGGCCCTGAAAATGAGGAAAGAATCCATAGGCCTTTCATTTTCAAAGTGGAAGAGGGCCTCTGAGCACAAAACATGGCCTGTACTGTCAGGCTCAGCTCATGTTTGCAGATGTGATGAACTGCAAGCGCGCGCGCTCTCTCTCTCTCTCTCTCTCTCTCTCCTCTCTCTCTCTCTCTCTCTCTCTCTCTCTCTCCCTAATTCTTTTTTAAAAATTTATTGATATGTTTTGTTTTTATATTATCTATCGGCTGCATCCCTATCCCTTCCTCCTCTGAGAGAGGTATCCCTCAACAAAAGATTTTTTTCCTTCCAAAGAAGAAAAAGAGGAAAAAATTCAACAGAACTGATCAATACATCAAAAAAAATGAAACTGTTCTCTTTCTCTGCCTCTGTCTCTCTGTCTCTCTCTCTCTCTCATTTTCTTTCCTTTTTTTTTTTTAGGCTAGGCAACGGGGTTAAGTGACTTGCCCAGGGTCACACAGCTAGTAAGTGTTATATGTTTGACGCCGTATTTGAACTCAGGTCCTCCTGAATCCAGGGCTGGTGCTCTATCCACATCTCCCCCCTCATTTTCTCTTTCACTCCCCCTCCTCCCTCTTTCTCTCTCAGTTTTTCTTTAGTAGAAGAGATAGTTCAGGGGAAAGAAGGTATTTGGAAACGAAGGTGCTATACTAACAAATCACATTTTTTTAAAAATAAAAATTAGGGATTTAGATAATATTTAGTTTCAATATATTTTTATGTTCTTTAAATTTTTAACTACACACAAGGCCAGGAGGATCCCTAGATGACAGAGTTAGAGCTAGAAGGGTCCTTTGAGGCAATCTCCTAGAAGCCCCTCATTTTACTGATTAAGAAACTTAATCCCAGCCACGTTATGTTCAACAATTTGTCTGAGATCACAAGGGTGGTCATTTTCAGACACCAGTTTTGAAACAGTTCCTTTGCCTAGTGCCATTTCCAGTGCACCACACTGTTCTGATGGAACAAAGGCCTTCCCAGGTTCACTGTCCTCCTCAGACCCACACTGGCAAATCATGTCCCCTTCTCAGAGCCTTGAGCAACTCTCCTAGCCTCAAAACTGCAGAGCAGAATCACAGGATTACAAAACCAAACATTAGAAGGTACCTGAGCAGTCATCCAGTCCAACTCATACACAAACCAAACCCCAACTAAATCATACGCATCAGAAAGTTAACTAGCCTCTGCACCTTTTAAGGCAGCCCATTCCACAGATGGGTAACTCCCCTTGTTAGCAAGTTTTCAACTAAAAGCTGCCCAATAGTTGGAGATTTGCATCTGTAAAATGAGTTTCCTCATCTAACTCACAGGTCTGTACCAAAAAGAAAAAAAAAATCAATTACTGAACCTCTTTCGTGACCAAAAGGTGGGGGTTTCAAAAGGCTCAGGGGAAACATAAGTAGATGATCTCATGGACTACAATGCTTCAAGCGAAGTCAACCAGGAGGGATGGGAAATGCTTAAGAAGGAAATTCTGAAGACAGAAAGAGAAACAATTCCAATGAGGAGGAAAAATGAGATTTGTCTGAAGAGACTGATGTCTAGGCATAAGAAACTCACAAGCCAAATTAGATTTTAAAAAGAAATGTGCAGAAGATGGAAGCAAAGCTAAGTAACAGAAGATGAATATAAGAGCAAGGCAGAGTACTCCGACATAGTGTCAGGAATGCTATAAGGCCCGGAATGAGCTACGGCTGTCGAGAGAAGCTAAGGATAACAAAAAGCAAGATTTGTTTTGGTTTGGGATTCTGTAGTGATATTCCAAGGAAAAGTAACTCCCAAGAAAGGGTAGGGCTTCACCTGGGGTAGATGGTACAAAAGAGAGAAGGCAGAGAAAGCTACTCCACTGGGCCAAGGAGACTCCCTTCTACACTGAAATTGTCAGGAACAAAGCGACAAACAGAAAGATGAGGCCATAGTTAAAAAGGCCCAGGTGCCCCTATGAAATTCACATCACCTGGCCCTGCAAGGCCTGGCAGATGGAACTGCTGAGCCACTGTCAATGATATTGGAAAGATCACTGAAAACAGGAGTGCTAGCACATGGTTGGAGAAGGGCAAATAACGTTCCAACTTCTAAAAAAGGGGGAAGAGCACAGAGTGTAAACTATAAGCCAGTGAGGATGCCTCTGATTGTGGGGGAAATTCCAGAAGGAATTCTTAAAGAGACAGTGGGTGAACATGTAGAATCAGAAGCAGTGATTACAAAGAAGGCAAATGGCTTCATGGAGAGTAGATCAGGGGAGATAAACCACATTTTCTTTTCATGAGAGGAGGAACGGGATGCTGGGGAGGTACTTTATCCAGATTTTCAGGAAGCTTTTTTAAAGTATCTCATACCATCTTATGGAAAAGATGGAGAAAGAGAGAGAAGATCTGTGTTTCTCAAAATCTTCCACAGTGGTTGAACTCTTCCATTAAAAACAAACAAGCAAGACTTTGGCAGAAATCTTACAGTAAAATCTTAAATGAGCTGTTAAACAACATAGGGTTCATTTTTTCTTTTTAAAAAGCACATTTGAGGTATTTCAAGGTTTGCTGCTAATACAATTCCCAATGGATTCAGAACCAGGATGGCCAGGCTCAAAGAAGCCTTGTTACTGTTAAGAAGTCTTGGTAATAAGTCTCTCGATGTCAATGTGGCAAAGGATCTTTAGTGGAGAGTCCCAGGGATCTGGGCTTGGTTCTGTACTGTTTAAAGGTTCCTCAACTTTACAGATAACCCAAAGCTGAGGTAGATGTCTAACACAGTGAATGATGGAGCAAGGATCCCAAATAATCCCAAGGATAGCCAAAGGCATTGGGCTGAATCAAATATGATGAAATTCAACAGAGACAAATGAAAGTCTTGTGCTTTGGTAAAAAAAAAAAAATGAACTTCCTAAGTCCAAGATATGAGAGGCATGGCTAAACAGAAGTTCTGGAAAAGACTGGGAGGCTTTAGTAGACACCAAGGTCAGTATGAGTTAATAAGGCAATGAGGCAGCCAAAAAAAGCACATATGATCCTGTACTGCACTTACGGGGCATAGTTTCCAAGAATAGGGAGAGGCTCATTCTGCTGTACTTTGCCCCAATCAGACCTCATCTGTGTCCACTTTTAAGTACAACAGGTTAAGGACGTTTATAAACTAGAGTGTGTTTAGAATGGTGAAGGGCCTTGGGGTCACTGCCCTCGAGGAGCAGCTGAAGGACTTGGGCATGTTTAAGCCTGAAGACAAGTAGATTCAAGGTAAAAAGATTGGTGTCTTCAAACATTTGAAGGCTTTTATGGGGAAAAGGGATGAGACTTGTTCCATTTTGCAGGAACCAGAAGCAAGGGATGGAAGGTGCAGAGAGGCCAGTTTAGATTTGATACTCTAATAACTTGAGCTGCCCCAAAAGAGATGTGGGAGGGTTCCCCTCCTTGGAGATCTTCAGGAAGAGGAGATTCCCTTTATGTAGAGGTTGGATTAGATGGCCACTGGGATCAGGACATTAACCTAGGCTCCTGTCATTTGCAAGGTGTTTTCCTTAAAACAATCCTAGGAGACACTAGGGCAATACAAATATAATCTACAAAGGATGGTCCTAGCTCAAAGAGGTTGGGAGACCTGCCCATGGTCACATGGCGAGAGCAGAAGAACTTAGGGCCTCTGACCCCAACTCCAATGTTTATGCTCTTTAATAAATGGCCACCTTGGCTGAGAAGTCAGGCAGACCTAGATTCCTGCCCCAATATCAGAGCACTCATCAAGTCATAATGTAACATGTTCAATACACTGCAGATTTCAAACTTTCAATTAATGCAAGAGAATCCTGGAACTAGCAAATGTTGAAAACGGAAATAAATCAAATCACTGAAAAACTATTAATACACAAGCATACACGTGATAACTGCCAAAGCATTACTTTTTATTTAGGGGTGGCAAGAGGGGATCACTTTTAACTCAAAGATAAAGAAAAGAGCTGTGAGATTTTGCTAAGGAACATAAAGGTTGCATGCCCAATCCTCATATTCCAGATGCACTACAATTCAGCCTCTGTACAGGGTAAAAGCTACTTAAGCCATGCCTAATTTGCATGCATGTCTGGGCATACAAAGGCTTAAGTATTCAACAACCTCATCTCATCCATTTTCCATTTATTTAATAATCTTTTATTTTGTCTTAGTCGGAATAAAATGAGAGCTTAAAGAGTGATTCATATTCATTATGACTCGTGTGAAGGTTGGATTTTCAGGTTTCTAAATCACATTTAAAAGTACACTCTGAGAAAGGAAAATACTAGGACACCTGAATTCAAGGCTATGAGGGTCATGGCATGGAAGGAGCACAAAAGAACTTTCTGCTTGTTTTCCTAACTCAGTCTTTCCTTTGTTGTTTCTGTGTGGTTTTGTTTTTAACAATTTAAATCAGTAATGCAAGTAGCCACAACCAACAGCTTCTCTGCCAATGTGATTACATTTCAACCTACCTTACAAAGAAAGTTGATGTTGAAACCCAGCGACTGGGCATTTCGGGACCCTGAGTTCATGTAGTTGCCAACCAGGAGTACCAGCTCTAAGAGTCGATTAAAGCTTTCACTCTTTTTCATTTCTTCACAGGCTAGAGTTACTGCCATGATACCCGGTTTGATGTTGTTTACATGTTCTTCAAACGTGAGCTTGAAAAGGATGCTATGGAGACGAGGTCTTAACATTTTCACTGAGCTCATCTGCAAGACAAAGGGATTCTCCGTAAGAATGCACATTTGAAAAAAAAGAAAGTTTCCTTTAGAGTTCCCTCTGGCAAGAGAGAAGCTCATGCAGAGCTCTGGATTATAACAACTCCATAAGCTGTACCTCCCAGAAGGGTCTTTTTAACCTTATGTTTTTCCTTAGATATCCAGTTGGGAGAGTGTACCAGAAGTTTCTCTGAAAACAGTGCGCTATTCACCTTGGACAACCCAGTATAATGAAAGTGACCACGTTCATTAGAGAAACAGTCATGTTCGACAGGTGCATTTACGTACGCTGACTGCACTATTAATGGCCTCCTCAAACGCATATACTTTCAAGGGCCTTCTTCAAGATGATTTAGGAAAATCTGCTGCAGGATATTGAGAGGAACGAGTAGGCCAAAAGCAATGGCAAACAACACTGGTGAGGCTTGATTTCCTAAGAAATTACCTATTGATATGCTGTTTAAAATCCTCAGACTGGCTGTGATTGAGCAATTAATACATTTTTCAAGAGTATGAAGTGCTCCTTAGATTTCCATTCTTTTATATATATATACACACACACACACACACACACACACATACACACACACACACACACACATATGTATATATATACACACACATATATATTAAACATTCATATTCTTTATAAAGAATTTCAAACACTTGTTAAGATATGGATGCTAAATGTGTCATGGTAAAATCATAGGAACGTACTTTCAAGTACACATTTCGAAGATCCTTATATTGATTTTGTCCAAAGCAGTTCATCTTGGTTTTAATTACTTGTATCAGAGCCTAAGTGCACATTAGACATTCCCTTTGGAACAGTTGCCACAATTATGAATGCCTTCTTAATCCTTCATAACCTATGAATAAAAAAACCGGGCCTACACATAACAATTTTTGGTCTAGCAATGAGTAACTAGGCTAAGACAGAAGCATATTCTAAACAAACAAAAGAAGGATTCTAATTTCTAATCACAAAGATATTCATACACATTCCTTATTCCAAGCACAGTGTTAGACATATAGTATGTACTTAGCAAATATTGTTTGGCCTGATGTTTAAAAAGAGATTTGACCACTAAAATAGGAATAATAATAAAAATAGCTATTAGCGTTTCTATAGATCTTTAGAGAATGCATATGTATATATATACACACATATATGTTTTTGTAATATATGTGTGTGCGTGTGTGTATGTGTGTGTATGTGTGTGTGTGTGTGTGTGTGTAAAATTTTATCCTCACAATAATCCTGTGAATTAGATGCTATTATTATCCCCATTTTACAGATGAAGAAACTGAAGCAGAGAGAGGTTAAGCAAATTATCCAGATCACACAGCTAGCAAGTGTCTGAGGCAGGATATGAACTTGGGCCTTCTTGACTCCAAGGGCAGACCTCTATCCACAGTACCACTCAGCAGCCTCCACAGGGAAGTCTATAGCACTTTGAACTAAAGCCTAATTCCATCTGTCTTTTCCCCTTGGAAAAGCATAATCCAACCTTTGTTGGAGCTCTTGTAATTTGATCAGAGGGGAAAATTATAACCAAATTTGGTCGGGAAATATAAATCCCTGTTTCTCTTCATTCTCTCAACCTGGCCCACTTCATTCAGATCACCACTTTGGTTCTTTAACATATTCCCTGTGAGGTGGGCATCACTGTTCTGAATGAGTATCCTTTCCAAATAAAAAAGGTGATCTGCAGAGTAATTCTAAAGACAGAAGATTATGTGAAGTCTCTTGGTTGAGGGGGTCTCATCCTGTCCCTAGATATTTTAGCATATGACCCAGTTCTGTCCGAGTATAGTAGATTTTGGACAAGAACTTACAGATCACCATTTTCTAAGTTACATGTCAAATAAAGGCTTTCACATTTTGATGCCACTTCTTTTCCATTCCCTTTTATGTGGGATATTCCAGCCCATTTTCCAATATTCCACCTCACTAATGGAGCAGGAATTCTACACAATTAATTTATTATTTTTTGGATTCTTTCAAATAAATAAAAGCAATATACCTTCAAGGTCTGTATGTTCAGATAATCACCTAGCATTTGTCCAAACAAGTAGTATATGCTGATTATGATCTACTAATTCATATTCCTAATTCATTCTTTGAAATTTAAAGTTCAAAACAACATTCGTGGACATATATTGCACCCCCTTGCCAATGGATGAATTATTCAGCCTCTGCTTTAAAAAAAAAAAGCTCTTGTAACGTACTCAGGGTCACACAGCTAGTAAGTATGGGAAGCTGAATTTGAACTCAGATCTTCATTACTGGAAGTCCAGTGTTCTTATTTACTATACCACCTAGCTGCCATGAAAATAGCTAGCATTAATATGTTGTTTTATTGTTTGCAAGGAATTTTACATGTCAGATCATTTGAAAATTATAACAACCCTACGAAGCAGTTATTATTATTCCTATTTTACAGATGAGGAAACTGAGGCTCAGAGGGGTTAAGTGGCTTGACCAATGTCAAGTCTGTAGTAACTCTGGTGTCAAATTTGAACTCCACAGCACTATGAACTGCCTGTTCCTTCCTTCCCAATAGTGATGGATCAGGACTCTCTAATTCTCTCCACCCTTGTCCTTGTATGGGCAGGGAGCTTCCAATTACAATCTTTCCAATAAGATAGAGGATAATAATAAGCACTTAATAAAGACATGTTTATTATCACTATACTCTTTAGTCCACTAGGCCTTAATATCTGCTCTGTTATCATACCCACCGGACTCCCAGGAATTGACAATGTACCCTAATGACCCATAAACTGGCTTTGCCATCCACCCTGAAGCTGCCCCCTTGGGAGCACTAAACTCTTCTAACCAACCTGCAGCTGAATTCTTCCACATGCGCGGTCTCTCTCTCCCAAATAGAACGAGTTCCTTGAGAACAGAGACTGTCTCACTTTCCTATTTTTATTCATGGTGCTTCAGTTAGTAGGGATAGTTAACTAGACCTGTGGTTTCACTAACTCAGGACTCCCAAATGAGCAATCTCTCTCTAGCAATGCACATTCACATCTTCTGCACAACTTGGAGAGTTGTGCAGACACTGACAAGTTAACAGATTTGCTCCAATATTAAGAGAAAGCCAAAAGTCTGTTCCCAAGAGTCAGAGTTCATCCTGGGGAGTTCTTTCCCTTAGTATCATTCCCTCACATTGGTTCCACCACTCATTAGATATGTTACTTGAGCAAGTCAGTCAATAAGCATTTATTAAAAGTTTATCAGTACTGTGTTCCTCAAATAAAAGCACTTAGCACAGTGGTAGACACAGTACTGGGGATACATATGGCCCCTGCCTTCAAGGAGCTTTCACTCTTATGGGGGAAGACAATAGATAACAGGGAACTGGAAAATGGGAAGGAAGTACCCATGAGGAGGGAGGAATATACTGGTATAATGTGGAGAATGACACATGGCTACTCTGAGGCCTTCTTCAAAACACAGGTTCTGTGAGAAACTCACTGACGTGAGACTGTCTTGTGCTTGCAGAGGTAGAAGGAGAAGGCAGATGAAATATGGTGGCCAAAGTGACAGAGCACATAGTTACTTAACCTTCTGAGCCTTAGTTTTCTTTCCTATCACATGACAAGCTCAACCCTGACCTGACTTTTTGAATAGGGGCTCCAGTGAGAATCAAAGATTAGAATGTACAAAAATGAGATTTGTAAAATCAAGAAGGGCATTTCAAATGAAGGTAGCATAATTATGCAAACAAAACCCATTCCTAGACAAAAGATAGCTCCACACTTCAACACATAGTTATTAAGTACCACTATGTGCCAGGCCCATGCTAGACTTCTGGGGATAAAAGTGACCCCTTCCTGCAGTAGCTTCATGTACACATACAAGGAATTAGAGAAAGCATACAAAATAAATACTAAGTCCTGGGGGTAGGGTGAGTGACGGGGAAAGGAAGCACAACAGGGGCAAATCAGGAGAAGCCCCTTAGAGGAGATGGCACCTGAGCTGAGCCTTGAAGAGAGCTAAGATGCCAGGAGGGTGAAGTGATGCAAAAGAGAGTCACAAGCACAGAGGTAAAAATGGAGAACAACAAACAGGTCAGCCTGGCGGGAACACCAAGTGCCTGAGGGGGCGTGCGGCGCAATCTGCCTGGAAAGATCACTTGGAGCTACTCTCCAAAGGGCTGAAGGTTACACGGAATCCCACAGACAAGAGAAAGCCAATGACTCCATTCCAGCAGGAAACTGACAAAACAGGCAACAACATTTCCTGTTTAAGACAAGTCTTTGATTCCACTCATTTAAACAAGTTTGCTATGGTGCCAGGCGGTGTGCTAGGCTAACTAAAGTATACAAATAATGCATCCCCAGCCAGGTATAGAATTATTAAAAGGCACTTGAGTACACCTAAGTGATGTAAGTAAATAGAACAAAAACTATGTTGAAATATGTTTGTTTTCAGTTGTCATCCCTTGCAGCACTGCAGATGACTGGCATTCTTTGTTTTATCATTCATTCCTTGAAGTGCTGTGGGACATTGACCACGGTGGTGTATTATGGCAGAGATTTATTTGTGTTATCAGGTACTTGTCTATCAAAACCACATCAAGGGGCTCTCATTTCTTGAGCTGATTTACACCATATTAAAAAAAAATGCAGTGAGAGCAGCTACAAGTGGGTTATTTCCCCACAGAGTTGGACGTACTTTTGTTTATAATCTAAGTCTCATACACTTCACTACCTACGCAGCTGGTGAATACTACTCCGCAATCCCAACGTCACATTCATTTGCAGAAAAAGGCAACAAACATTAAAGCCCATACCAATGTGTGCTCATACTCATGCATGTGCACATAGACTAGTCCCTGTAACCAAGGGATCCCTATAACTATGTTGCTGTATGTAGAAAGAGAGCCTATCATTAGCCTGCAATCTTTCTTAAGCTCATCTTTTTCGAGCTGGGAGGGACCTCAGAAGTCATTTAGAGCAGCCCTTTCTTATTTGAC